GTTAAAAAAAAAAAAAGTTCATGGGAAAATGGAATTAAAAGTAAATCGAATTTCCCTACAAACTCTTTGATGTCTCCTTGTAGTTAACTTCTTCTAAAAAATGTCTGCCTTGAGCATTATGCTCTCTTAAGATCATCTGTATGGGATCCAATCGACCATGGGAGAGAAGAGCTAGGAAACTCCAAGAGGCAGTGAGTTTCGTCGAGAAGGGAAGAACTCAGAAAAGGAGGGGACGAATGGCTGCACTACTCCAAGAATGGAATCAGTGTCACTCCCTTGTAGACTTAGAAACAGCTGGATTTTTATTGAGTGGTTTTGTCGCATACCTTCGCAATAAAAAATTATGTTAGGGAAAAAAAGTCTTTTTAAAAGTCAGTAAAAATAGTCCAAGAATCTAGAACCTGCAGTAGTAGTAGTACAGAGAAGGACGAGCCCACTGAACAAGCACGTGATTCGTTATTTTTAAAAAATTGAGTACGTTATCAATCTTACAGGCCAATTTTGTCAGCTGCTTTCTAAAGAGAATGAATGCTAAGGTCCAGAGGATGGGAGTCCTAGGTAAACATTCATGGTTTGACAGGAGACGAAGCAGTTAATTGAATGCATGCTCAAGAGCATTCAGTGTCACAAAGTCAAAGACAAGGTGTTCTGAGATGGAAGAAATGGCTGACAGTGTCAATATGATTAAGCAGTCAAGGGAGAGAAGAATAAAGAGTGCAGTTGACAACGTGTTCATAAACAATCTTGAAATCGCTTTTTCAATGTGGTAGGTATGGGGCAGAAACTAGATTTCTAAGGGTTAGAAAGAGAGTCAATGCTGGCTGGTAATGTGGTATATTTACTTAGAAAATCTGCTGGAGAAGGAAAGAGCCATGTAAGAGCAGTCTGGGGAGTAGTCAGGGTCAACAGAGAGAAGTCTGAATACGTCTGAGACAGAGGACAGTCCCTCAGTCTCACAGTACACTGTTGCAAGGTTCTTATGTTGTATGTGAAATGCAAAATATTATCTTTAAGTAGACTGAGGTAGAGAGGAACACTGGTGGTGTAGGGGTTAAAGCACTTGGCTAAATAACCAAAAGTAAACCTACCACTTGCTCTGCATGAGACAGATAAGGCAGCCTGGTTCTGTAAACATCTGCAGCCTTAGGAACCCTAAGGGGCAGGTCTACACTGTCCTACAGGGCTGCTATCAGTTGGAATCGGCTCTGCAACAATGGGTGGGCAGTGGCAAGCTAGACTCACAGGGCCACTGAATTGATAGGGTTATAAACCTTTACTCAGTCTCATTTTTCCCCTGGAGCAGCTGCTGGGTTTAACTGTTGATTGTGCAGTTAGCAGTCTAATGCTTACCAGATAGTGCCACCAGGGCTCCTTGTGAGAGGCTAAGAACACATAACATACTCTGCAGAGCAATTATTACAAAACAAAAAAACCCTAAAAACAGTCTCCTGCGTTTCCCTTTAAGAGTTAAAAACCACCAGCTGCTCCAAGGAAGAAAGATGAGGTAACCCTTTACTTCTGTAAAGAGTTACAACCTTCAAAACCGACAGGGGTGCTTCTACCCCAGCCGACAGGACCACTAAGAGACAGACTGACTTGACGGCAGTGAGTTTGGTTTTTGATTTGGTGATTTCCTAACTCTGGATAAATTTCAACTTTCTTTTTCCTTAGGTTTTTAAAAATCTGCCTCTGTTGCCTTTAACTCTTGCAAATCTCTCACCCTTGCATTTCACCTTTCTTAACATGACCTTCTTATCTATGGTACATGATGGGTTCCTATTGGCCTCTGCTGCAACCTGCTCAGGGCAATCAGTGGTGTATTTTAAAACAATAACATTGGCAGCAATGTTACCATGGAGCTGAAAGAGAAGTGGACAGCAGTGAGAATCCACAGGAAAGTTATCTGCAGACAAGCAGTGATAAAGGGATTAAAGAAGGATATTAGCAATGGAATAAAAATGACAGGATTGATTTAAAGAAAATCTCTGAATTAAAACTCACATAGCTTGATTACTGCTTCAGTTTGTATTGGGTGAATAATCGTGGCTAGAAAAAACAACAAAAATAATCAAAGAGGACCCTGAAATTACAGTGAGAATAGAGAAAAAGTGTCTCTGGAAGGTGAGATGTCTAGCAGGTAACTGGAAGTACAGCTAGGGAGCTGAGGGGAAGTAGATTCAGAAATCACTGGCATATCATACGTGTAAGATTGCTTGATTGAGGCCAAGAGAATATGAGGGTGTTGATTTAACATAGGAACATCAATCAACAACAAGAAAAAGCAGCCAACCAAAAAAACCAACAACCAAGAAAAGACCAAGAAAGGCCAGAAATCTAATAACATCCATTCATCTAGCATTTACTTATACACCAGGTACTGGTCTAAGCACTTAACACATATTATCTTGCTTAATTTCTCCCAAATACCTTACCATTATTCTTATACTAGCACTCATACTACTACTATCGATAGTGATGATTAGAATAAACAATGTGAACCAAGCACTGTGTTCAGCAATCTGCTTGTATCATCTCATATAACTTCCAACAACCTGTAAGAGAAGCTTGGTTAATATCGGAAGTACAATATCATCCCCTATTTCATACATAAGGAAAGGAAATGAAAGTTTAGAGCCTACATAAAGTGCCCAAGTGCGGGGAGATAGCAGCAACGGTGAGATCCAAATCTAAAGTAGCAAAAAAGGATTCCTATCATTTGAAATCAAGATAATTTTAAAGGATAAACCTTATGCATAAACGGTCGAGAAACTATGCAAGCTAATTTACTCTAGGTAAAAGGAGATAAGCATAATACACAGAATTGTAAAATACCTGGCGTTTCAGAGAAATCAACTCCATGTCCAGTTGCCTCAGGATCGTGTTGGCTGCATTGGGGCTACAGGAAACAGCTACGACATCTTCTTGGGTTAAATACATGCCCTTAGGCGGCCGGCACTTAGAGCGCTGAGAGTGATGGCGATGCTGTAAACTCTGATACTCTCTCCTTCCCAGGCCAATCTTGCTAGTTTGCACAGGTTGCTCAGTACTACCCTAAGAGAATAACGACAGAGTAAGTCACTGGGTTTTTAAAAAGCAAATGTATAAATTGAATTACATCTACCATTGCTAGTAGAAGTAATTGCACTATGTACCCTTAAAAGCCCTTCTAACCAAATACATAATGTGCATGTTTGAACACATCCACATACAGCTCATCAACCTTGGTGGGTGGAGGGTAAAGGGTACAACATCAAGCAACAAAGTATCCTAGATTTATCCACAAATGATCAGTTCCTACAGCAAGAAGTCTATGAATAAATATGAACAAGAAACTTAAATTGAATCAAAACTATTCCTATTTGCATTAAGTTTCCTCTCAGCAATAAAGGGTGGTGGTGGTGGTGATGGGATGATAGCTAACTTACTAATGCAAAGCTTTTAAAGAATATAAAAATGGACAAATTATGAATTATTTTAGACCATATGGCAAAAAAAGAGAATATTTCATTCTCATTTTAGAATTGTTCAAAGAGACTCATGTCTCTCAAGGTAAAAAGAACACAGAATTATATCTAAACTGCAGGTCCATCTTTGGGGTACATTTCTTTACGAATAAGATGTGAATTTATACCTCAGACGAGGTCAAGAAATTTTAATGATAAACATAAGGTGTTAATGTGTTAAGAAGCATTTCTTTATTACAATAGTACTTAAAAAAAACCCCAACTTTCATTTTAAATGTACCATTATATGAAATTTTTTTTTTTTATCGTTTCACTTGTTTTCATTTATCCAAGTACAGGTTTGAAAAGCTTCAGTACTCTCTTTGCAACGCATTGTTTTTAAAAATAGGTTGGTACATGTTCACGATTAAAAACAGCCACTACCAAAACAGGGAGGGTAAAGGGAGAATGGGTAGGAAAGAGGGAACCGATTACATGGAACTGTGTGTGACCTCCTCCCTGGGGGACAGACA